AGCAGACGATGTACATGTACTGGCCTTGGCAATGCCGAAGAATTGGAAAAAAGCTACTTGTACAAGAAACTTAACAATCAAGTCAAAGCTGAAATTTTGAAAATGAAGTCTCCATGTAACGGTTGTCGATGAACATTGGGATGTCTGGAACCACACTGCAGGATGGCATGCATGATTCCAAATTAGGAATAAGTGTGTGCTAGTATATGAGGAGTGAACTATTATTATTATTATTATTAACTGTTATTTTACTAGTACATGTATACGGGGAGTGTATATGGGGAGTGTATATGGGGAGTGTATATGGGGAGGGACTTGAACAGTTTGGACCGAGGAATGCATGTTGCAACCCTCATGACCGGTATCATATGATACGTCGGTATAGGTATTCGTGACCTTTGATTTCTTGCTCTAACAAGCACTTGTCACATCATACCTTTTTGAATCTTGAGACAAGGAGTGGACGTTGCGGAGCACAACATGGAGAAAAAAGGAGAAAAATGCAGATGCACATTTGTTTAGCCCAGAACTGCATGACAATACGATTATTGTCCACCATGACAGTAGTCAGAGCCTCCCGGTATTTCTAAGAAAGACGCAGATCTCCCGATATTTCTAAGAAAGACGCAGATCTCCCGATATTTCTAAGAAAGACGCAGATCTCCTCTCACCCTGCTTTACAATGCGGTTTTGTTTTCTGGGAACAAATTTTAGACACACACACACACATACACACACACACACATACACACACACACACATACACACACACATACACACACACATACACACACACATACCTCAGACCTCAGACATGCCCATCGCGAGAGCGATGATAGCGAACAGCTATGTTAGACATAGCAACTTGTGCTGGGATTACATCATTCAACAGCTTGCAAGGCTGATGAATTGACCGCCACTATTTTTAGCCTGGTATCCACCACACAGCTGTTTGAAGTGACTTTTTCTGCCCATAGAATCCCTATTTTTCATTTTTCCATTTTTTTACTTTTTTTACACACACATACATACACACACACACACACACACACACACACACACACACACACATACACACACACACGCACACATACACACACACACACACACACACACACATACACGTACACACACACACACACACACACGCACACATACACACACACACCTACGCACACACTCTTGGACCTTTGCAAAGCCCATCGGCAAAGGTACGCACGCATATATATGTACACACAGGCTCAGAGTCAGCCAGTACAATCTCATCCCCAGTTCAAAAAGTCGCATGCACACACGAAATGTGCCAAATGTGTGCACAAATTCATGGAAACTACACAATCATCTTGAAATGTATAATCAGTCATGCACATGTAGGTTTACTCATATTTTCTCTTATTCAACACTGACTGCGAATCACAATGGGGTATCGTCGAGCCAGACTCGATGCCCATGATCCCAGCGGGGGCCATGACCTGCTGAATGCAAACACAGCCCGAGCCTACCAGCGATGTCATAGTATGAGCGCTCAGTGAGCATACACTGCCCTACCCCAAGGGCGAGTGAAGCAGGGAGCAGGAAGCAGAGGCCGCATTGTTTC